TTACGCTATAGCGACATACTGCAGCGGGCAGAGGCACGGGCGGCACAGACTGCAGAGACTGCAGCAATTGCAGGGACTGCACAGACTGCACAGACTGTACAGACGGTAGCAGTTCCAGAGACTGCGCAGACTGCAGCAGTCATGGAGAAAATGACAGTTGCAGTCACTACGGTCTCTACAGTCTCTACAGCAATTGCAGAGACTACAGAGACTACAGAGAATCTATTATATGATGACCCACGAGCCATCTATCAGAGGTATGTCAGGAAAGAGACTCTTGGTATAGAGCACAGCCTCGCGGCAGTCTCAAGACCAACCAGGCATACCGAAAGGCAATGGGCTTGCCATTGCGCTACAGCAAGACTGAATATGACTGGTGCCTCGACTGGAAGCAAATGTCAAGGAGCTGCGGCTCGAGGCAATGGACCAAGGTAGAGATGATGGCATACCTTGATTGGGATAAGGCAGAAGAAGAGCGATTAGATGCCCGGGTGGCCGAGGAAATTCAGGTGCAGCCTTTCTCACGAGAAAGAGGTACTGCAGGTATATGGGCTGACTGCGAGAGAGACTCAGAGGAACAGCAGGCATTTTATTCACATATATAAGTGGTGATGATGCCGGCGATGCGAAAATGTGAGGCAGATCGTGAGATCACCGACATGCACCGGCGTGTAGCACTGTAGCTGGCCAATTTTAAGGCGGTGAACTTCCCGCGCACCTCCTTGCCACGCAACAGCGGCGCCCTTTGCGTCACGTCAATCTACCAAATAGGGAAGGCTATGGGTTCGAACCCTAAGGGATATCCTCCTTTGCAATTAATTGAAGCTATATGTATGCAGCAAGCATGCTGTATCGGTGAGGCCGACTGCGAGCGCAGTTGGCGGCGGCCCAAATGGCCTGCCAGGCTTACATAACAGGCGCGGACGTCCGCGCCGACTTTAAAGGCGCGGGGGTCCGCGCCTCTATTGGCTCCCCTTGCCTTGGAGAACATTACTCAGCCTGATCTCGATACGAAATCCTCACATAGCAGAATCTCCACGGCAGAATCGACCCCGGCAGAACCCTCTGGCAGAATCTCGACTGGCAGAATCGACCCCGGCAGAACCCCGCTGGCAGAATTGACAGAATCCCCACCGGCAGAATCACACGGCAGAGATCCCCCTTTGGCAGAATTTGAACTGGCAGAACGCCAAGATGCCTGCCAAGGGCAAAAATTTCCTTTACCAATCTCTTCGAGCGCTGCTTTTCTGACACCCTGCAGTCTCAGCGAGGACGTGCAGCCATTCCGAGTATCATAACCGACATGCTCATACTGTCTTTCACCCTTCCCGTGCAGTGACAATACAACGATGTGACTATTCTCGTGGCGACATTCAGAACTGGACCATTGCCGCGGTCGAGGAAATGCACGTTGCAACACCATTTGCACTGTGCTTTGTATAGCAGCAAGCCACGCGAAGTGGCTGTGCTGGCAGAATTCGCCGTCACGTGGCGGCCGCACCAGGCAGCAACGCGTCAGCAAATGTGGAGACAGCTTACCCGCCTGTTCCCGGGGAGGAAACCGCGCCTTCCTGAGTGGGATGCTCGAGGATGAAAAATACTTAAAAAGAAATTTTTATATTTATTTAAGTTAAAATCTAATCTTTAATATTATACTTATTTTTATATTTTAATTATTTTAGTTAGAAGCTATTTATATAATATAATAGAAATTTTAATAAATAACTAATAGTAAATTCGGTTTTCTATTAATTTAAGTAATATACTATCTTACTTTATTTTTCTTAGGTTCTACCTTTCTAAGCTAGTTTATAATTTATTTAAAACTAAGGTATCTGTCACGACCCTGGGCGCCAGCGTAGAGCCGCCAGCGCAGAACCTCACCAGTGTCACGTGCCCAAGCAGCATCACGTGCCCACGCGCGACCTCGTGTCTATATAAGGGCCCGCTCGGTCGTGTAGTCTAGTCTTCCTTTCTTGCTCCTTAGCTTTGAGTCTTTGTTCATAGTGCCAATACATCTTTATAGCCGTCAAGGCTCGTATGTGCCTGGCCGTAACACTACTCAAAGCTCAATAAGATCGCTTGCCAGCGATTAAGCAAATAGGCACCGAGCTTTCACGTCACACGCGCCTGACGTAAATCCAGCGCATCCGTTCTGACCGTTCCGACCAAGACTCCGACCACCGACCAAGTGATCCTCAAGGCTGAGATCACGTCCGTTCCGACCAAGACTACGCGTGTGTGTAGTCGTCCGACCAACCGTTCCGACCAAGGGATTCGTCCCGTCTGACCTCCGACCGTCCCTGCTTGTGCAGGCATCTGACCGTGATTCCGCGTGGTATCATTTCCGACCCTAGACTCTGACCTCCCGCTCCTCCGACCGATCTCGCCGCGCGCCGACTAAGACTGCTCCGACTACCGCCAAGACTCCGAACAAGACCGGCTCGACACCTATCACCTCGCGACTATGATATCCGAGGAAGCCCTGCCCTCTGATCAGCCTCGCCGTTCCACCCGGCTTGCTGGCCAAGCCACTGAATCCGAAATGGTAGCCATGGCTGCCCCGAGCCCCAAGACGCTCTCATCCGCGAGATGAGGAACAGATTGCGGCCTTAACGGCCCGTCTAAATGAACGCTCTCCGTCTGTTGAATCAAATCGACAGCACCGGAGCCCTCGACTGCTTTGCCGGCCCAAATGGCCCGGCCTTCCGACCAGCAGGCAAAGCTGCCTGGCCTATTTTGCCCCCTTCCCAGAGGGCAAGAACCCGAGTACAGCGACGCCGCCAAATCGCGCATCAAGGTCTCCGCGACGTTCTCAGGAAGAAGGACGAGTTCCATTCCTTCATCCTGAGCATAAAGAACAAATTTGACGAAGACGTGCGAACCTTCCGGACTGAGAACAGCCGGATGGTCTGTCTGTATAACCTGCTCGAGGAAAAGCCCGCCGAGCACTTGAAACCCGCTTCTCCTCTGACACTCGACCCTTCTCTGGAGTGGCAGAGATGATCCAAGCCCTCGAGTCCGCCTATGGCAATCCGAATGAGCTTTCCGAGGCTCTTGACCGCCTGCAACGCCTCCAGTTTACCGTGAATGGGAAGACCGACATTGTGGACTTCCTTGCGGAATTGACTACTTAACTGCGACCGGTCGTGTGCCCGAGGACCAGATGAAGCATACCTTGTGGCAGCACATCCCAGCCAACCTAGATAACAGCCTCTTGACCAAGACCCGTGACGAGTCCGTGACCTACGAGGTTTTCTGTGGGTTCATTAAAGACGCTGTCCACTGCCAGAAGAGGAGTATGAGGCAGACACAGGACTCCCGCTCTTCCGACCGATCTCGCCGCGCGCCGACTAAGACTGCTCCGACTACCGCCAAGACTCCGAACAAGACCGGCTCGACCCTATCACCTCGCGTGATGCTGGCAGAGCCTTGACCGACGATGAGAAAGGGTCCATTGGGATAATGGCACCTGCTTTATTTGTGGAAAAACAGGGCACCTCTCTCGCGAGTGTCCCGACCGCACCCATGCTGTCTCCCGTGTCGCCTCCGTCCCTGTCCCTGCCAACGACTCTGATCAAGATTCGGAAACGAATAGGACCATCACAAGACTCCTTGATGGTCCCTAAGGTGTCACAGACAGCGAGTAGGTCTAGCAAGTCATTCACTCTGCCAAGTCAAGTCCAAGTGGATGGTGTGAGCCTACCTGCCCGCTCCCTCTGTGATACCGGAGCCGAAACCCGTTTGCTGGTTAGCCCAACCTTCGCCCAGTCCGCCGCCCAAAGACTCGGAGCCCAGATTAAGGAGCTCCCGAGTCGGATTCCTCCAAGACTTCCGTGGAAAGCCAGCCGGCTATATCCAGAAACAGCTGGTCGCCACTTTCGTCATCGATGGCCGTTCGTTCGCAAACGAGACATTTGATATAGCTGAGTGTGGCCATGATATCTTTATCGGTCTTTTCTGGATGCGGGAGAAGCGCCTCCTGCTTGACTGCGCCGCCCGACAGATCATCTGGCCAGATGATCTTCCTGCCCTCGCCAAGTTCTCCCCGACGATCCAGCTCTCGTCAAGCCCCGCTCTCGGGTCGGATCGACCCTAAGATCCAGGCCGACGCTGAGAGGCGGAACCGCCTGCTCGAGAAAGAGGAGAAACGCTACCGGATCCTCCACAAGAACTGGCGCCGCTCTGATCAAGCTCCTCCGGCCTCTGTCCCGACCCCGTTACCGACTCCGTCTCCGTCGTTTCAGTCCAAGTCTCCGTCTGCCAAGAAGTCTGTCCGTTTTCAGCTCACGACCGCCCCTGCTACCGCCTTCGTCTCCGTCGCCTCGGTCCAAGCCTCCGAAGATCAAGCCCTGATTAACGCCCTGGTCTGCCAAGTAGAGTCTCACGAGAGATTCGAACAGTGGAACGAACTCGAACCGTTGATGCCCGGGATCCAGTCCAGCTCGAGCCAAGCTCCGGCCTTGACCAGACCGTCCCTAGTGCTCGAACCGTTGCTAAAGTCTCCCGGATCAGAAGACCTACCAGGGACAAAGCATTCCGTTCCTCAGGAGAAGACCCTGAGCATGTTGCTTGTGTCCGTAGTCGTCTACCGCCCCAGCTCACCCATCTAGAGGATTCTTCTCGAAGAAAGAGGCCCACACCCTACCTTCGAGCCGACCCGGTCACGATGTAGTCCTAGAGCTTGAAAGCCTCTTTCGCCGACAGGACCCCGTCGTACCGCACGCCCGTTAAGTATCTGCCTCTAGAAAAGAGACTGTCGATCACCTCCGGAGATAGACTTCATCGAGCCCGATCCGAGTCCGCACGCCGCTTCTGTCCTCTTCGCTCCGAAACCGAACACGACCGCCCGCCGCTTCTGCATCGACTACCGTTGGATGAACGATCATCTTAAAAGTCGCATCACGCCCGCTCCGTCCCTCGAAAGTACTGCTTTCGGTTGCCGTGAAGCTCAACGCTTCACGAAGATCGATGTGATCCAGGCCTTCCACCGTCTCCGCATGGACCCTGACTCCGAGTATTTGACCGCCTTTCGCACCCGTTTCGGAACTTTCCGCTGGAAAGTCCTCCCGTTCGGTCTGAAGGTAGGTCCCGCCTGGTTCCAGCAGTTTATCAACGCGCAGCTTCACGATCTCCTCGACCGGTGCGCCAGCGCCTACGCAGATGACGTCCTGATCTACTCGGATAAAGAAGAAGACCACTGGAAAGACTGTCAAGAAGTGATCTGGCGACTCCATCAGGCAAACCTCAGGAGACATCAAGAAGTCTAGATTTAACGTGACCAAGGTTGACTACCTCGGCGTTCTGCTTGAAGCCGGTGTGGGCCTTAGTGTCGACCCTCGGAAAGTTCGATCGATACAAGACTGGAAGTTTGAGGACCTCCGAGACCGCACCGCGATCCGATCATTCGTTGGCCTATGCAACTTCATCCGTGTTTTCTGCTACCACGCCTCTGGAGTGGCAGAACCCTTGAACCGGTTGCTTAAGAAGGATGTTGCCTTTGTGATGGGCCCGGAGCAACGCGAAGCATTTGATCAACTCAAGCGCCTGGCTATCGAAGCCCCGGTCCTCGCCTTCTTTAGACCAGAACTGCCGACCCGACTGGAGACCGATGCCTCCCGGAATGCCACAGCTGGTGTTCTATGGCAGGAACAGCCTGATCAGACCTGGAAGCCCGTTGGATTCTTCTCTAGGACCATGACCCCGGCCGAGCGAGCCTACCCAATCCAAGATCGAGAGCTCCTCGCCGTCGTACAGAGTCTAGAGCACTTCTACCCAGAGCTCTTAGGCCAGAAATTTGATGTGATCACCGACCACGAAGCCTTAGTCCATTTCTCTACGAAGCGCCTGCTCTCGGTACGACAGATCAGATGGTCCGACTTTCTCGCCCAGTTCGACATCCGTTTCCTCTACCGCCCCGGTCGACTGAACGTAGTCGCCGATGCCCTCTCCAGGAAGACAGCCGAGCTTCCTACCGTAAAGGCCCGGGAAGCCGAGGAACGCACGGTGACCCTGATCCCTCCGGAAAGGCTAGGCTTCGCGACCGACTCTCTAGACCCTACGGCCGCCGGCCACCTGCCCCCTCAGAACTTTAGTCCCGAACCTAAGCCTACTAGACCATTAGTTCTGAGGGCCACGAGTGCCCTACAGACCCCAGAAGACCAAGGGATACAGCAGACGCCCGATCAAGACCGCCCAGAACTAGACCCGAACTCAGTCCCGAAGGGAGCCGAACTCGTTTCATTGATCCGCCAAGAGAACCTCCTCCAAGACCTCGGCACCCATGGAACACACCTGATCGTACCAGCCCAGACCTCAGACAAGCAGACGTTTCTTCAGACCGCGCTCATTCGCGAAGCCCACGAGCCCCAGATCTTCGCTCACGCCGGACAGAACAAAGTGATCAAGCTGCTCCAACGAGACTTCTACTGGCCAAGGATGAAGGAGGATATCCGTCGTTATATTCGGAACTGCCACGACTGCCGCCGCAACAAAACCCCTCGAGACAAGACCCCTGGACTGCTCCATCCACTGCCCGTGCCGACCTCTGTTTGGGAGCACGTCGAATGTGACGGGAAGGATATGCCGAAAGACCGTTACGGATATGACTATGTTTGGACCTTCGTCTGCAAGCTAAGCCGGATTATCGCCACGCTCCCAGGAAGGAAAAACGATACGGCAGAAGTCTTAGCTAGCCGCTACTTCCGCTACCTCTATCGTTTCTTCGGTATGCCCCTCGTATGGATTTCTGACAACGCTGGACAGTTTATTTCTGCCTTCCTCGCAGAGATTAACCGGCTCACGGGAACGAAGCATCGTCATGGAAGCTCCCTACACCCTCAGACCCAAGGGGGTGTAGAAGTCACAAATCAATACCTGGATCAAAAGCTACGATTCTACGTGACGAAGCATCAAGACAACTGGAGTTCCCTGCTGCCCGCCCTCGACTTCGCCCATAACTCGTCTTGGCACTCTTCCATCGACATGGCACCGTTAAAAGTAGTCCTAGGCCGAGATATCCGGAACCCCCTGTCACTGCCCCCGACTGACAAGACCGCTGCCACCGGACCCGCCGCCAGAGCTAGGGAACTTGTGCAGACCGCCCAGGAAACCCAGGAAGACGCGAGGAATGCTGCCACCGCCGCTCAAGAACGTCAGAAGGAACAGACTAATAGGAAACGACGACCAACCGACTTTGCCATCGGTGACCGAGTTTTTCTCAGCAGGAAAGGCTTCGCCACGAACGCTCCGACTACTCGGCTAGATAACCAATGGTCAGGTCCGTTCGTAATCCTGGAAGAACGCGGTTATAGCTACGTACTGCAGCTGCCCGAGTCGTACAAAATGAAGAACCTATTCCACGCCGACCGTCTTCGAAAAGCAGCCAATAACCCTTGCCCCAGCAGATCCAGTCACCTCCGCCACCCGAGGAGATCAACGGAGAACCCGAGTGGGAGGTTGATCAAGTCCAGCAGTCTCGAGTAACCGGTAGGAGTCGACGACTGGAATACCAGGTCTTATGGAAGGGATGTGACCTGATGAGACCTGGTACCCGGCTAGGAATTTCCGTAACGCACCAATGGCATTGAAGATTTTCCACGATGAACATCCGGACGCAGCAGGCCCACCCGTCAACCTGCAATACTGGATCGAATGTGCTGCAGCGGAGGAGGGCTGCGAGGAACGAGACGATGACGACACAGCAGAAAAGCCGTGAAACCAAGAACCCGCCGCCACGACTGACTACCTTGATACGCATATCAAGGCCTTAGACGGGGGGCAGTGTCACGACCCTGGGCGCCAGCGTAGAGCCGCCAGCGCAGAACCTCACCAGTGTCACGTGCCCAAGCAGCATCACGTGCCCACGCGCGACCTCGTGTCTATATAAGGGCCCGCTCGGTCGTGTAGTCTAGTCTTCCTTTCTTGCTCCTTAGCTTTGAGTCTTTGTTCATAGTGCCAATACATCTTTATAGCCGTCAAGGCTCGTATGTGCCTGGCCGTAACAGTATCTATTTTACTCCTTAATTTTAAATTTAGTAGAATACTTAAAACGGAACTATATTTAGTATTATAAGTTTAAATTATACCTATATATATAAGTTTTATAGAAAAAGTCCTCGCTTACTAAGGTACTATATAGTGCTAAAAGAAAAAGTAAAAGTATTATTATACTTAATTTATATAATATAATACCCTTTTAATTTTAATTTTAGATTTTAAGGTAGCTAAAATTATACTAGCTTCCTATTATAAAGCCTTAATAAAAATAAAAGGAGGAAATAGTAAGCTAATATAAGTATTATACTAAGGGATTAACTAGTACTATTATTAGTTTATAATCTTAACTGTGGGTAGGCACCTGCGGCAGCTGCTGCAATGAGACGGTACTAGGGTTAACCTGTGATGTTGTATTCGTCTTGATTCTCTATCTAAGGAGGCAGAGGCCAGCGTGGAGAAAGGGGGCACGCTGCCCTCAGCCGCACACGTGACCGTACGGGTCACGTGCCAACCATGGTTGGTCACACCACTAGATAGATACATTCCTACAATTGCTAAATATAATAATAATATATAGAAGTTTTATAGTCTTAAATTAAAGTCTCTAGCTAGTTCTTATATTTTTTAGTAAAGAAAAATAATAAGGTTAATGTAGGAATGTATCTATCTAGTGGTGTGACCAACCATGGTTGGCACGTGACCCGTACGGTCACGTGTGCGGCTGAGGGCAGCGTGCCCCCTTTCTCCACGCTGGCCTCTGCCTCCTTAGATAGAGAAAGACGAATACAACATCACAGGTTAACCCTAGTACCGTCTCATTGCAGCAGCTGCCGCAGGTGCTACCACACTGATCAGTGACCGGCCCACGCCCGTCACAGACAGCTAAGTAGAAGAGACAAATTCCTCAACCTTCGAAGGTGCTATAGTCCGCGTCACTTTACTGTGGCCCTGAGTAGCGCTCAGAAGAAGGTTATTTGTGCTAAGAACAAGGAATCTCCCGCTGGTTTGCCCAGCCGCGCGAGAGTCCTTCCAACTGTTGATTACGATCGCCCGCTAGTTTGCCTAGCCGTGAGCACCGGAATCGACAGGCGACCACATCGCAAACAACTAGTAAGAACGTTCGACCCTTGACGTTAAGTAGCAAGATCCCCGTCAGTTCAGTCTGGCCGCGAACGACCTACTTAGTACGCGACGCTCGACCTCCTATTAGCGACAACTCGTATACGAAGAGACCAATACGAACCCCACATCGTCTCATTCATTTGATCACGATAGCCCCGACCGCCCGAGCTATGTCCCCAGAAGCCCAGCTCGAAGAAATATGCGACCAGATGCAGGCACTAGACATCCAAGCATCCGCATTCCGACAAATTAATATCGACCTTTGGGACAACGATATCACACACGACGAAAAGGACAAGATCGCAGTAACGACATATGTGGCAAAGTTCATATTCATCGTTCAATCTGGCAGTGATCAAGGATACGACCTCCTTGGTTACTTCCAACAGCATTTTGAAGAATGGACCGAAGACACATGGGACCGCGCCCCGAATGAATACAAGAGAGCCCTCAGGAAACTACTAAGGAAAAGAGGTATCTACACAGGTTCACAAAGGGGAAATTCGCAACACAATTTCTCATATTACAAACTATCGAGAACCCACAAACCTGGCCAGAGCAGGAGTTTACGGAGATGGTGTTTGATGAGAGGACTGCTGCCTTCAGGAGGCAGACAGCATTACTAGGATCAAATGCTTCCACTAATCCCCATCCGTCTCAACCTCCTTCACCATCAGTTACGCCCTTAGCAGCACCTCATCAAGGTCTTAACGAACCACAACCTATTAAGACCCTAACGAGCCCTCCTAACGCACCTACTCCTGCTCCGACTATCCAAGATAAACCTGCTCCGACCTCTCTTACTATTCATCCGACTTCCTACCGCTTCCAGAACCCCGATCTCGTCCAACCCGTCACCAACCCCATCCCCGAACACTTATCCGGCCCTGCAACCTTTGGAGAATACATGAAACTCCCCCCGGATAACATCCCGAACGCTATCGTCGATAGCGACATCCAGCAGAAGTTTATGAAGACCTGGAACAAAGATCGGAACTACACAGGAGAGCCGTACGATCTCCTGATGATAAGCTCCGCCTCTTCTTAAGCAACTGCTCTCATATCCAAGTGAAACCGTCACAATTTCACGCACTCTTTCCCCGGATCCTTGATGGAAGAGCCCAAAGATTCTATCTTGATAAGATCACATGGGCTACGACGTTCCGACAAGCGTATGATATCTTCAAACAACACTTTGACACGGAAGTCAACCATGTCCACTACCATACTGACTGGACAACAATAACCTTTAACTCCATCCGTGCCCAAGATGCTTCGAAGACCCCACGAAGTGCTTCAAACCCTCTTTGATAAGCTTCAGCTCTGCCAACGAGCCCTTGGCAGGAGTACGGAGGAGACCTTCTACTGCGTACAACGCTTATGAAAGCATGCCGTGAGTACCCGAACTCCAATACGCTCTTTTCAAACCCGCCGATAACGTCGAGCACCTTCTTGCAGATCTTCGTGCATCCGTTGAAACCCATCTTGCCCTCATAACAACTTCTCAATTTCCCTTGACTTTGCTGGATCATTTGATCATAACGATCCACACCATCAGTACTACCTCGACCGTCGATACAATAACAACCGCTCTCGAGGTAGATACGGATATTCAGGTCAACGACCCAGCCGCGGATACAGACAAAGCTACAACCGTGGAAACTACCGGCCTCAAAGCCGTAGTAACTACAATCATAGCTACAGTAACCGAAACTGGACGAAGAAGTGTTTTGTTTGTGGACAAGAAGGCTGTTGGTCAACTAAACACTCTACGGATGAACGGCAAAGGCCAAGGACCAACATATCACTCAATGTCACTTCATAGGTGTACAACTCACGGACATCGGAGGCTATATTCTAGACTACGAAGGTCATGAGATGAGCAGCTTTGATGACACTGAAGATACATGGGAAGAACATGACAATAGCACCAACGATCACCCGGAACAATGGCAAGCAAGCCAAATGCTCTGTCAACAGGCATTCAATCATTTGATCACAGGAGAAGACGTCTATCAGACGGATCAAACCGTTGTTCCAGCCTCGCAATTTATTATTGAAGATCGCTATTCAAGGGATAGATTCAAGGTATCATGATCGACACAGGTGCAGCAACATTTTCCACAGCAGGATACTCTCAGTACATCGCCCTACAACGAGAAGACCCTTCTGTAGCTCTCGACAGCTCCACATCCGGCCAGGCCTCCATCAAATTCGGCAACAGCGACGCCATCCACTCCTCGGCACAGTCGCCCTTAACACACCCTCGGAAGGATCACGTTCCACGTCCTTCAAACCCCAACTCCCTTTTGCTCTGCCTTGCTGATATGGACCGGCTTGGTATCTATTTCAACAACATCACAGATACCATCAATTGTACTAATCATTGTACTAATCGCCCTACAAGCATTCCAGTCGTACGCAAATGGGGACATCCCTGGTTCTTCCTTACGAAAGATGAAGAGTCCATCTCGTTTCTTACGGAAACAGAGATTCGTACACTTCACCGACGCTTTGGACACCCAGCAGTCCCTAGGCTCCATCACCTCTTGAAGCAAGCCGGGCACAGTGACGTCTCGATAGACACATTAGAGACTATCTCTAAGTTCTGTCACCACTGTCAAATGCACTCACAAGCCCCACGCCGCTTCAAGTTCACCCTTAACGATGATCAAGAGTTCAACTACGAAATCATCGTTGATGTGATGCACCTAGGAACACCACAACGCCCTGTTCTACACGTTGTGGACTCAGCTACTGCTTTCCAAGGAGCCAGATTTTTACCGTCAATGTCAGCTAAAGATACATGGGAGACCCTCCGGACCCTCTGGATCGACACGTATCTTGGACCTCCTGATACCCTCCGTCATGATGCAGGAACTAACTTTGCTTCTCTCGAATTCCGGAACGAAGCAAAGATTATGGGAATCAAATGCTCTCAAGTACCTGTTGAGACGCATTGGTCCATTGGAAAGATTGAACGCTATCACGCACCCTCCGACGCGCCTTTAACATCCTCCATGCTGAGATTGGCCACACCACTTCCGCCGAAACAGTCCTTCAAATGGCTGTTAAAGCAATCAATGATACGGCAGGACCTGACGGTCTTGTGCCTACGTTGCTTGTTTTCGGCGCATACCCTCGCGTATCTACAGACTCGCCCCTTCCGCTTCTACCCTCAAAAGATCGGAAGCTATGCAGAAAGCGATGAAAATGCTCCGCCAACTCTCGGCAGAAAGACGAGTTAAGGATGCCCTCCATGCACGCAACGGCCCGAGCACGACAGAAGTGCTATCCCTCCCGCTGCAAAGTGAAGTTCGCGTTTGGAGAGAGAAAGACGGTTGGCAAGGACCCTTCAAGATTGCATCGATTGATACCCATAACATCACCATTGACACAGTCAACGGCCCCCAAGTCTTTCGATCGACCCTTGTACAACCGTATCTGCGTGATGATACCACTCTTTCCGACCCTACACACGACACAGACCCCTCAGGCATTCGTTCAGATCTTAATGAACAACCGGCTCAAGACCCCGTTAAGACCCTAACGGACCTGCCTGCCCGACCCGAACCCCGCCCCCGCAGAGAGGACGCCCACCAGGATCAAAGAACAAGCCAAAGGATTTGATCATGATGGCCCAAGCCGTAGACCAGAGCTTCTTGACCCAAAAGGAGGAAGATGCACAAGCTCTTTCCTCAAGCTACGGTCTGATGGCATAATCACCTCTCCTGGTGACCCCTTCGAAGAATCCGATAACAAAGAGATTACTGACCTCGTTGGCCGCGGTGTATTCCAATTTGAACGATACGATCAAATGAGTCATGGAAACTATAGAATCTTTCGCTCTCGAATGGTTCGTGAAGTCAAAGGAATCAACACTAAGCCCTACGAAAAGTCTCGACTTGTTATTCAAGGACATAACGACTTTGAGAAGACCACCCTCCTGACGCAATCTCCGACAATTCAACGCGTTAGCCAGAGACTCATCCTCGCTATTGCCCCGGACTTCTTCAAAACTACGGCATAACCCTCTCCTCCGTGATATCACTCAGGCATACCCGCAATCCCAGACCAAGCTTTCCGGACCATTCTTACGTATTTGCCCACGGAACTACAAGGCAAATACCCTAACAGAACAATTATTCGTGTTATTAAGCCCCTGTACGGTATCGCAGAAGCCGGAGTCCATTGGTTCCGCACATATCAGCAGCATCACCTCGAAAAGCTGGATATGTCTACCTCCACCTATGACTCCTGCCTACTGATTTCGAATACTGGCCCTGACACGCTCGGTATTGTTGGAATGCAAACTGATGACACCCTCATCCTTGGAACGAACAACTTTTCTACCCGTGAAGAAGAAGAGCTACAAAGGCAGAATTTCGTTCCAAGCCCAAGACTGACATCACATACGGAACAACGGTTGACTTTAATGGTGCAAGACTGACGTTGCTGAATAATAACCCCTTAAGAAAGGATCCCTTTACTTCAACAGAAGGGACAAGCAGCAAAAATGACCACCATTGACCCTAAAGCAATTGATCGTCACCAGCGCTACGTTGAGGAACGAGCGCGAGCCTCATACATTGCTTCAATTGCTCAACCGGAAGCTTCTTTCGATGTTTCAGTCGCCGCCCAAGTACAGACCCTGAGGATAAAGATTACGCAATTTTGAACAAGCGACTGCAATGGCAAATGGATCACCAACTACGTGGCCTCACGTACAAACCAATTGATCTAGCTACTGCAAAGCTGATGGTTTTCACCGATGGTTCTTTCGCAAACAACAAGGACTTATCCTCCCAACTAGGATTCGTCATTGCCCTCGTTAACGAGACAAACCACAAAGAAAAACAGTTCGAGATTAGTGGTAACATCGTACACTGGAGTTCAACAAAGTGCAAACGTGTTACCCGTAGCGTCCTAGCATCAGAGATCTACGGTATGGCCAACGGATTCGACATAGGCATCTCCTTGCGATGACTATGAAGATAATTACGGAACGACTCAACCTTCCTCCTATCCCTCTCATCGTCTGTACGGATTCGTACTCTCTCTACGAATGCCTAGTCAAGCTCGGTACGACGAAGGAAAAACGATTGATGATTGATATCATGGCCCTTCGCCAGTCATACGAGAAGAGAGAGATAACAGATATTCGTTGGATCAACGGCGCAGACAACCCAGCAGATGCAATGACGAAAGCATCACCAAACCGAGCCCTGGAACGCTTCATCGATACCAATAGTCTGACAATTCGAGTCGAAGGATACGTACAACGTTCCTAACCGCTCCTTATACCTATGATCAAATGATTGCTCCTATCAGGAAGACCCTTCACTTCTTCCCAGATATCTACAGCTAAGAACAAGACGTCGGACCCACTTTTTGGCAATAATGACACACGCCCTCACGGCACATTCCTTCACGGCCTTAACGCTACTATCCTTTAGACCCGTTCAAGGTGTTGCTGTGCTTCTCACAGCAAAAGAAGAGTTGCCTGTGTAGGAATGTATCTATCTAGTGGTGTGACCAACCATGGTTGGCACGTGACCCGTACGGTCACGTGTGCGGCTGAGGCAGCGTGCCCCCTTTCTCCACGCTGGCCTCTGCCTCCTTAGATAGAGAATCAAGACGAATACAACATCACAGGTTAACCCTAGTACCGTCTCATTGCAGCAGCTGCCGCAGGTGCCTACCCACAGCAATAGATATATAATTTATATATATATATAGTCTGCTCCCTTCTTTTATCGCGAAGCGTGGCCTGATTTCGAGGTTCCTAGATATCCCTCAGTAAGAGGGATCTAGGAAGCTAAAACTATCGGGAAGCGGTTATCAGACATTTGTGTCAATTGCAGCGCACCTGTCGCAGCGCGCGTTCTACTTTTGCCTACGTGGCGCAATGGTCTTCGCGACAGAAACAACCGGTATAGAAGAAGGAAGAAGAAGCTGAAAAGAGGTGCAGATAGGAGGGTGGGGGAAAGAGGGGAAGCAGAAGTAGCGATGGCTTCCAATGGAGGTGGCGAGAGATAAAGCGGGATTGCTGGCAACGGCTGGAAAAGAGGGGTAAAAAGGCTGGTCATCTGATGGACATCGAGATCTGGCCTGTAAGGGATTTCCCTTATCAATTGGGATGCTAGAGGGACATAGAGGGGAGCGTTGGATAGAGGAAAAGAGGAGGAACAAGGCAATACAACAATTAATTCTCTGCCCTTATTGCCCTTAAAAGATTCAAACAACTTTGCCCTGCCTGTCCGACCCCGTACCGTTAATTTCACCTTGGTGCATTTTATATGCACTTCTCGCGTCTCACTTCGCGAGATCTTAAGATTAGTAATTTGCTGGACCTTAATACAATTAAGCCTACTTGGCTATATTTTGACAAGGCAACTATAAAGAGAGGCATCTAAAAGAGCTCGCAGGAAGCTATTTAAGCAATCTAATAGTCAGCTTAGAGAGAGCTGCCGCAAGAGAAACTTAAGCTTAGATTAAGAGAATTCCTTAGCATCTAAAAGATCACTAAACTTAAAAGAGGAAATAGGCATTAGGAGAGCTAAGAATGTCGCGAAGCGTGGCTGGATTTAGCAGGTCTCAAGGATATCTCTTAGTAAGGGAAGCTATAGGAGGAGCTACGGGTAACCTAGGTGCAGAGAGCTAATAAGGGGCTATAAGAGGAGCTAAGGGAGGTGTAGGGAGCTAAAGAGTAGAAGAAGAGGTAGCAAAAGCTTCTAGTAGAGGGAGCGAAAGATAAGACGGAAAAGCCGGCAACGGCTGGAAAAGAGGTCCAAAAAGTTCTGTCTTTGGTCGGACATCGAGATTATAGCTATGCTGCTGCTGCTGTTATAGACAGTACTGTGTGTATTTCCGCAAAATACATAGAATCTTGTTAGAAAGAAAGACATATGTCAATTGCAGCGCACCTATAGGAGCGCGCGTTCCACTTTTGCCTGCGTGGCGCAATGGTCTTCGCGACAAATCCAGTCCGTGCAACCTTTATTATACTACCCTCTTTCGTCCATGCATGCAGCATCCCTTTCTCCTTACGTGTGCCGCCGTTAGGCATTCCTCCGCCTTAGCTGTCTGGACCGCCTAGATCCGGCTGGTGCACGACCTAGTCTATATATTTAGCGCTTACCTTTATATCTGCCGTTTGACAGACCCTGTTGGAGGGATGATTATACTTTTATTTTAGCTGCTTTTTGCTATCCTTTTATATTCCCTTTTCTAGAGTCTCCTTTTTCTTTAGGCGTCTATAACCTCTTTCCTTAAGCGCTCTCAAGTGACTTTTGCGGGATAAAATACCAGGGCTGAATTAGTATCTATACGATCAAGGAGATAATTATTTAGAGCTTTACCGCGCTACCTACGCTGCTTCTGTCGCAAAGTGTAGCCGGATTTTGCAGGTCTCGGAGATATCTCCTAGCTAGAGGGGTATAGAGGAGCTGAAAGCGGTGTAAGAAGCTAGAAGGAGGTGTAGAGGTCGAGAAAGGAAGGTGTAGGAAGAGAGGGAAGCGGAAGTAATAGCTTCTATAGAGGTAGCGGGAGAGTAAGACGGATCTACTAGCAACGGCTGGAAAAGAGGGTAAATGCATTAGTTCTAATAATTAATCATTTATATCGTATTATAACTTATATACTAGTACTATATAAACCACCGTTAGGCACCAGGGCGCCTATATATTAGCCGCCTATCTCTAACCTATATAGAGTTAATTGTCTAATACTACATATAACCCCGCACGCATAGCTATATAGCTAGGTATATAATCTATAGCATTATTTAATAGCCTAAGGCACTATTATAGTCTTATAGGCTAGTCGGGGTAATAGGCCTATATAAGGACCTTTATAGCTCTAATAGGCGTAGGCCTAAGGGCACTTATATCTTTCGTGGGTGCTAGGTTATTATAACTAGCTATAATATATAGCTGCTAAGCTAAAAGCTAATAAATGCACTATTATATAATATTAAAAACCTAACCTATAATCTTTATCCTAAATATTTCTAGACGGAGAAACTTCTCCGAGCAAGCTATAGATATATAATAAGATAACTAATTTTACGGCCTATTATATACTCTAAATTTTAGATAGATATATATCTTAGAATTTTTACAGTTATTTATATAAGGAGGCAACTTCCGCCTAGGAAATATTATACTATGTAATTTTCGCGAAGCGTGGCCTAATGTCGCTGTTCTCGGAGATATCCCTTAGTAAGAGGGACCTAGGAAGCTGAAAACACCGGTGTGGAAGAAGGAAGAAGGAGCTGAAAGGAGGTGCAGAGAGGAGGGTGGGGGCAAGAAGGGAAGTAGAAGTAGCGATAGCTTCCTATAGGTGGCGAAAGATAAGACGGATGTGCTGGCAACGGCTAAAAGAGGGAAAAACCGGCAAAAGCTCGGTAGTTAAGAGGACATTAGTGGCTTCTTTAAGCAGGATCTTCTTTGTTAATTGGGATGCTAGACGGATATAAAGAGGGCGCTAGATAGAGGAAAGAAGGACAATTAAGGCAATACAACAATTACTCCCCTGCTACTGCTACCCCGCAAGAATCAAATAACTTTGCCCTGCCTATCCGACCCCTTACTTCTACTTTTACCTTCGTGCATTTTATATGCACTTCTCGCACCTCTCTTCGCGAGTAATCATAAGTGCTAAATATTCAACGTCTTATTTATATTCATCCTTGCTTTTCTAGGATAACTAGATCTGCTACGAACATCTCTATTCCCGGATTCTTATATTGCCTAGTTTATTTACCTGCTCCTATTTATATCCTTTCCGGGATCATCTAGAGAGCTGCCATGGCACTTAGAATATTGTCGACGTTGTTTAAACATCCAACAGTAGACGAAACTTCGTCTATCGTAAAAGGAATTATGCTAACCTTTATAATTATTTCGGCAATCTCTCTTATTAAATGTCGGCTCGAACACTATCTTGACCAAAAGCCGTTTCCTCTGGCTAACCCTCCTATGTGGTACCAGCCTCGGATTATTAGACAAATAGAGTTTTTATTTAAAAGCTCGGAAGTTCTCTCCGATGGTAGAAGAGATAATGTTGGAAAGCCCTTCAGACTCTTGTCAGAACTCGGCGAAGTGTTGGTGTTACCGTCGCTATTTGCAAATGTTATTGGCAACAATACACGTCTTAATGCTCATAAAGCTCGGGCAGAGGTGAGAAACTAAACCAACTTTATATCACAACGTATTACTGACTATAAGTAGCAAGTTCATAGCTATTTACCTGGTTTTGAGCCGTTCCGGTTTATTCAAGATGAGTCTCGAATTTTGCACACAGTGATTAAGAAGTGGCTGAAAGGAGGGAATCTCGGTACGTTGGCCCGGTCTTCAATATCTCAATGGTTTCTTTAATAATATATCAAGACGCTTTAGTTAAGCCGCTTTCATCCGAAGCGGAGCTAGCTACCAGAATGCTTCTCGGCGACTGCTTAGGTAATTCTTTCGCCAAGAGTTGTATAGGCTGTATTGACAGGACATATTAGAATGGCGCGAGTGCAAACCTTTTGAATCTATTCTCGACCTAATAGTCCGCATGACATCTGGTATCTTCCTGGGCGACGACATCGGCCGCAACGAAGACTGGTTAAGGATCACCAGCGAGTATACATTTCACAGCCTCGAAGCAATCGTAAAGATCAACCTTGTACCTAGGCCGCTTCGGGGCATGCTTCACTGGTTCTTTGCAGATTGCAAAAAAGTGAGGCGATGTTATGCCCAAGCGCAGGAGTTCTTGAGACCTATTGTCGAAAATCGAAATACGAAAGGCCAGTTCAAGACTGGAGACAAGTTTAAACCGATATTCAATGACAGTATCGATTGGGCCGAGCACGAGAGCAACGGTCATTCCTACGAACCGTCCGCCTTCCAACTCATACTATCATTTACAGCAACACATAACACAACGGACCTTTGCACCTATACGTTAGCCCTGCTGGCCAGCAACCCAGAATTATTTGAACCAGTGCGCAGAGAGATGGTCGACACCCTTCGGTCGCATGGATGGAAGCAAGGGGCGCTCGATGATCTGAAATTGCTCGATAGCGCGATAAAAGAGGCGCAGCGTCTAAAGCCTATCGATTTAGGTGAGGCCACCGAAAATTACAGCCATGTTTATTTCGTGCTGATCATTTTAGTGACAATGAGCCGAATCGTTTCCGAGAATACTATCATTGCCGGCGATTTGAAGATACGTAAAGGTGAACGAATCGCTGTCGACGTCTCCAGTATGATGGATCCAGCCATTTATGGAAACCCAGAAAATTTTGATATCTATCGCTTTGTCCACCTGAGCGAGAAACCGGACTGGACGAAGAAAGCGCGGCTTGTATCAACAAGTGCGGAACATCTAGGATTTGGCCACGGATTTAATGCTTGTCCTGGTCGGTTCTTCGCTTCCAACACGGTTAAGGTGGCTTTATGTTTCTTAATATTGAAGTACGACTGGAGACTTGGGTCGGGAAGCGACGTGAAGCCACTTATTATTGGCCTTATTAGAACCACTAATCCAAAGGCAGCGTTATTATTCCGACGCCGAAATGCAGAGATAGACCTCGGAAGCCTGCTTTGATAATGGTATTGCTCTGGGGAATTCACACTTGCGACGTACGTTATAAAGAAATAGTTGGTACGTACGACGCTTGCGCGAACTTTGCGTCTTCATTAAGGGGACATTAGCCTCAAGGAAACGCTTTTGACCATTGTCGCTCAAGCAATAAACAGCCATGAGTGCGTAGGCACACTCGGTGATTGTGGGCAGCGCATCGTTGCTGGTCATCGATTTGCGCTCTCTTTTTTGGCAGATTCATTGTGCAGTAATAAAAGTAAGCCGTAAATCAAGGCCGTGACTAGGGAGCACATACTTCTGCCTAAAGAGCCCAAAAATTAGGGCAGTGTGGCTAGTTAAGGCGCAGCGCCGATACCGCATAATTAGGTGCGTATGTTGGCTCGTCTTAAGGAATTTTCCGATGATCTGCCGGATCCCGTGACCCGCCGGACTTACACGCGACCGTAAGTTAATAGACATCAATCCATAATAACTCCATAGCAACGGGGCCAAATTTTCTCTAACTTAAAATGTAATAAAAAAGCGACTACGAGATATATATCATCCTATTTCGTAGTCGTTAAGCTATTATTGTCACGACCCAACGAGGGTCTTAAAGACCCAACAAGGGTCCCAGTGGGCCACAGACTAATGTATAGCTATTGAAGGTTGGGCTCACGCCCACACGCACTAACAGGCGCGCCCCTCATCCCTATAAGCGGAGACGATGCCATCGCCGCATCCGGAGGCACCGAATGCGGTAGTTAACCTAAGGGATGCTAAGGAAGTCACTTAACGGATCCGGATAACCGTAAGCTGCCGGATTAGTAGGGAAACCTATTCCCCCCGTACTTCGTATATATATATATAGTCACACCTACGGACTCCCTCTTTTAGGCAGGACAGAGCAATATACACCCTCTTTCTTTAATGCAAAGACCTAATAACTAGCAATAATTATAGTCGCTTACTATTCCGCTGCGGCCGTCCCGAGCTCCGATATACTACTACTATCTCCCGATTACTCTTAATAGCTAGAAAAGGTCTTTAGGCACGAGGTGTTCGGCCTAGCGGAATCCTTGCCTTCTTTGCTAAGTCGTGCTATAGCTAATCTAGCGCTTGCGATATTACCGGAAGCTCTAATAGTAACGGAGGAGCGACGATTATTTCGTTTAGAATTCCTAGACTCTTCTCTTATAGGTTAAAAGGCCCTAGCTAGCTTTACTACCCCTATTACGGCCTTTCCTAGTAAAGACGCCCGAAGTCGTTATAAAGCTATTAGTTAGCCTCTTTCTCTTACTTTCTAGCTTCTTTTTCCTATAATTTTCGCTCCCTTTTCTTCTCTCGCTACTTCTTTCTTTCTAACGGACCTCTTTTATTCTTCCGCCTTCTACTATTACTAACCCCTCTAGGATTCCTTTTAAAGAGCCTCCTCTTTCTTTTAGGCCTCTATTATAGCTTTCTCCTCTTAAGCTTAGGCTACTTTTTACGGGCTAAAGACTAAAGTAAAGTTAGGATCTATATAGTTAAAGAGGTAATCTTTTAAAGCGGTACTATACTACCTACGCTACTTCTTATAAATTATTACCTTATAGAGTCCCTTATTCTTATATCTAAGTAGCTTAACCTCGGATTTAAGGCTTTTAAGAGTGCTCTTTAGCCTCTAAGTATTAACTTTTAAATCTATAGTAGATTTATTAACTACTTTATTAATAAGCCGTCGTAATTCTTAAGTAGTAGGTGTCACGACCCTGGGCGCCAGCGTAGAGCCGCCAGCGCAGCACCTCACCAGTGTCACGTGCCCAAGCAGCATCACGTGCCCACGCGCGACCTCGTGTCTATATAAGGGCCCGCTCGGTCGTGTAGTCTAGTCTTCCTTTCTTGCTCCTTAGCTTTGAGTCTTTGTTCATAGTGCCAATACATCTTTATAGCCGTCAAGGCTCGTATGTGCCTGGCCGTAACACTACTCAAAGCTCAATCTTCGCGTGCCCCGCGAAACAAATATAGGCAACCTTCGCGTGCCCCGCGATAAACAAATAGGCACCCACAACCTGGTCCTTCGCGCTGGACTGAAAACTCGTGCACTCCGACCGACCGTTGACCCGTTGCACTAAGGACTGTGCCCCGACTCAACACCGACCGACCCTCCTGTGTGTGATCAGGAGCCCGACCGATTCGCTTCGTTAAGGACTGCGTTGCGAATCACTTCCGACCCTCTGTATGTGATCAGAGGTTGACTGTCCGTGAGGACACTCGACCAAGCCCTCCGAAGGTACTGGAGGCACCTGTCGACTCGTCTGCGTGTGCAGCTCGGCTCGGCCTTGACCCGCGCACGCACTAAGGACTGTGCAGCGCATCGACCCGCTCCTCTTCCTAAAGACTGGAAAGGAACAACCTCCGCCTGTCGACTTGACCCTCCTGTGTGTGATCAGGAGGTTTGGCCCACCGATTCGCTTCGTGTTGGATTCGACCCCGACTCGCCCTTGACTAGGTGATGCCGAAGAAACTCGACTACGGACCCCCGACAAGGAAGTCAGTCCGTACGGCATCGCAAGTGCCTGATCAAGGCCCCTCGACCCAAGACCAAGACCAAGACTCGACCCCGATTCTCCAGCTGCAAGAGGAGACGTCGGCCTCAATCGAAGACCCGCCAACGATGGCCCAAGTGACGGCTCAGCTGGCCGCCCGTCAACCTGCAATACTGGATCGAATGTGCTGCAGCGGAGGAGGGCTGCGAGGAACGAGACGATGACGACACAGCAGAAAGCCGTGAAACCAAGAAGCCGCCGCCACGACTGACTACCTTGATACGCATATCAAGGCCTTAGACGGGGGGCAGTGTCACGACCCTGGGCGCCAGCGTAGAGCCGCCAGCGCAGCACCTCACCAGTGTCACGTGCCCAAGCAGCATCACGTGCCCACGCGCGACCTCGTGTCTATATAAGGGCCCGCTCGGTCGTGTAGTCTAGTCTTCCTTTCTTGCTCCTTAGCTTTGAGTCTTTGTTCATAGTGCCAATACATCTTTATAGCCGTCAAGGCTCGTATGTGCCTGGCCGTAACAGTAGGCTATTATAATACTAGTAAGTCTTTTAAACCGCTGCCTATATTAAAATCGTCGGTTTTCTTCTTTATAATTTATAATAGGACGACTTTAAGATTAAAAGGTAGGAGCCTAGTCTATATCTACTTACTTTTAATATTCTTTAAAAAGAAAGACGCCTTAAATATATTCTAAAATAAGGTCTAGAACTCGCGCTTAAATAGCCTAACGAGCCCTTAAGACTTTACTATCTATTAGATAAGCTAATTTATATATACTATTAATAGAGGGCTAAATAGGGATACGTTTAAGGGCTAGAGCTTATAAGTAAAGTAAGGAGGAAATACTACTATAATAATCTAATACTAATCGTACTACTTTAGAAAGTCTATATTAATATAGCTAAAGTATTTATTAGTAATAAAAAGGTAATAATTACGTCCGTTTTATACTTTTACTTTAGTAAACGGATTCTTATTATTAATTTATACTAAGGGACCTATTAAAGGTATCTAGGAAAGCTACTTATTCTAAGCGGCTAGAAACTATAGCTTATTCCGTTTAAGTAAAAACTAACTACCTACCTTTCTTCCTCTTTAAGTTTATATTTAACTTAGTACTTAATAATTAGTAAGGTAAATTATCTTACTAAATAATATAGTTATTATAGAGTATACGTACCGCCCTAGCGCCTAGGTACGCTAGCGCGCCCGGGCGTATCCTTAATATATATAGTTAATTAACGAAGCTATTACTTAGTTAATTTCTTTCTTCCTTTACGTATACGTATACTTTTCGGCCTCTACGTAGTAGAGGGGTTAGTAGTATATCTACTACTTTAGCCTACCCTCTAGCTAAGACCCTAATAATAGTATCCTATTATATCCTTAAAATTTACCTTAGACTATTAATACCTACCTTTTTAGTAGTAGATATAAGCTAGTTAGGGATTAGGTTAAGCGCGCTAGTAGTCCTCCTAAAGGTCCTCTTCCTTATCTAAGTTAAAGGCGCTAGTTACTATCGCTTAGGCTCGCTAATAGATTTCTTTAAGGGAGTATATCTTAAGTCGTTTCTACCTTAAAGCGGCCCTAGCTCTCTTAAGCCTAGAAGGCCGCCCTAGCCTCTTCTCCCTTTCTTTCTCTTTTTCTAAGGCTATAGTTATAGCTCTTTACCTCTTTACTAGCCTTTTAGTTAGTATAGCCTCTACCTATCCCTTAGCTTAGGGCCTTACCTTTACTACTTAGCGCTCTTAAAAACCTCTTAGGCCTTACTAAGTAAGAGCCTTAAATACTATCTTATACCTTTTATAGTTTTAAATAAGTATAGCTCTACGCTAGGTATATATCTTAATAAAGCGCGTACTAAATAAAGATCTCTTTAGTCTTTAATTAATATATATCCTTACCGCCTTTATATATTAATACTTTATATTAGCTATATATCGCTTTTATACTATAGTACTTAGCGATATATTTTATTTAATAGTACTTAAAGTACTAGCGAACTATATGCTACCTAGGGCGCTACTATAGCGGCCTAGGTCAAACTAGGGCGTTAGCTAAAGAGGAAGGCTTTACTTAAAGGCCTTTAAAACTATATCTATAATAATAG